CTTAGTATTTATAGGAGGAGTCCTGGAGGGCCAATCGAGGCTGAAAAAAAATCTGCCTGATGGCTTGAAAATATCTGCATGGTGGAGTCTGATCGGGGCAAGTGGGTAGTCAAATCGGCATTTGGGATCGTGAAGCATGGTGGTGTGACCCTTATAAATCTCGGCAAATCTCGGTCACCACCCTGATCGTGGGCTCTGCACTCTTGGCCGTGGGAACGCATTTAATGCTCTAGTCCAGTGGTTGGTGATCTGACCTCAAGCTGTGAGAATGCATTGTGAGAATGTTTGCGCCTAACCATTCTGATTCCTATTACCAAATCCCGACTTCAATCACTTCCCTTCTGCCCTCGTCCATTAAATACTTCTTGCACCCAGTGGTTTTGCTGTGGCGGTCAGAGGCACTACTTCATTAAATGGGGCGTGGGACCTTGAGGCCACATGGTGATTTGACCATAGTATCTTTGGCCGCGTCTCTCATGGACCTCGGCCTTGGCCCATAATGCCGTGGTTGTGAGGCCGAGAAGATCCTGCCCTTCGTATTTTTCTTCTGTTTTTGAAAAGGCTAAATGTTTGACGAAACATGACCGTTTCAGTCCATGAAAAGGTGCCATGGCCGAGAAGAGGTCCCTTCTGACGACCGTGATTTATTTAGGCACAAGCGTTGCCCCCACATCCCTGGATTCTTTGGTCGCGGCTTCGGCAGATGCCGAATGGATTCCAAGGGATGGACTCTCTGCCTTCCCCCTGAAGTGATCGACAGTTAGCATCTTAAATGCGAAGGTCAATCGACGCATTAAATAAGCAGGCACGTCCCCTAAGCCATCATTGCCTTGATTCGCTCGAGTCGTCGCTTCGCCTCGTCAATTGAAACGACGGCCTCCGGGCTTCTGACACGTCATCGCGTATTTGAGCATACTGTCAGACCGTTATGTCTCTCGAGAGGATCGTGCCCTTTCGTTTTCGAATTCGAGCGCCAGTATAAAAGCCTATCCTTCTTCATTCTCTCCTCATGCTTTCAGAATTTTCAGACGCCCAAACTCTGCCAAAACTTTTCTCTCAATTTCTCAACCCTTTCGAACTCACTCAAGCACTCCACCTCTCTGCCCCTGTTATCCTTTTGTTCGAACGCTTGGCTTCCCAGTGTTCTTCGTGTTTATCGTCCTTTCCTCGACTTTCCTCGACTTTTCTTTAAAACGCCCATTTTGATCCGTTTTAATGGCCTCCAGCACTTCTGCCTCCGTTGAAGCCTTGTCCCAAGTCTTCCAGACTCAGTTTGAGGACATCTGCCGAGAAATCCAGAGCGCCCTGGGCTGATGACGACAGCGCTGTCACTGATTCTTGCATCATCGGCCCCCCGTGGAAGGGGGAATGCCAGAGAGATTGGCTGTCCATCTGAGGGACAACTTGGTGAATTTCTCGGCTTTTGATGGGGGGACTTCCAAGACTGGAATGTTGCCAGGCCACAGCCCCAATGGCCAACATCGACCCCAGACTCGAAAAGTGGCTGCCGAGGATGGAGCACTTCTTCGGCTAGCAATGAAAGGATCAAGGCATCTACCACTTGATCAAGCTGTTCGATCGGCCGCTTG